ATCCAGGTATTGGCCGGACAGTGCACTGCCTTAGCGGGAAATACTGGTGGCCAACGTTAGCTAGGGATGTGAGAGTTTATGTCTCCTCCTGCTTGGTGTGCGCCCAGTGTAAGGCGCCTAGACACCTGCCCAGGGGAAAGTTACATCCCCTGCCCGTTCCGCAACGACCATGGTCCCACCTCTCGGTGGATTTTGTGACTGACCTTCCCCCCTCCCAGGGGAATACCACCATTTTGGTCGTTGTGGATCGGTTTTCCAAGGCCTGTCATCTCCTCCCAATGCCGGGTCTCCCTACTGCCCTACAGACCGCTGAGGCCCTATTTACCCATGTTTTCCGGCACTATGGGGTCCCCGAGGATATAGTGTCTGACCGAGGTCCCCAGTTCACCTCCAGAGTCTGGGGGGCTTTCATGGAACGCTTGGGGGTCTCGGTGAGTCTTACCTCGGGGTACCACCCAGAGAGCAATGGACAGGTTGAAAGAGTCAACCAGGATGTGGGTAGGTTTCTGAGGTCCTATTGCCAGGGCCGGCCGGAGGAGTGGTCAAGGTATATCCCCTGGGCAGAGATGGCCCAGAACTCTCTCCGCCACTCCTCCACCAATCTAACACCTTTCCAGTGTGTTTTAGGGTATCAGCCGGTTCTGGCACCATGGCACGAGAGCCAGATTCGAGGCTCCTGCGGTGGATGAGTGGATTCGGCGCTCGGAGGAGACGTGGGACGCTGCACATGTCCATCTGCAGCGGGCCATCCGTCGACAGAAGGCGAGCGCCGATCGCCACCGCAGTGAGGGACCGGTATACGCACCGGGAGATCGAGTCTGGCTCTCGACTCGAAACCTGCCCCTCCGCCTGCCCTGCCGGAAGCTGGGTCGGCGGTTTGTGGGGCCCTTTAAAGTCCTGAGAAGATTGAACGAGGTGTGTTACAGGTTACAACTGCCTATTGATTATAAGAATATTAACCCCTCGTTCCATGTGTCTCTTCTCAGGCCGGTGGTAGCTGGTCCACTCCAAGAAGATGAGATAGGAGAGACCCCTCCGCCCCCATTGGACATCGAGGGGGCTCCGGGGTACAGGGTCCGGACCATCTTGGACTCGAGACGCCGGATGAGTGGTCTCCAGTATCTCGTGGAGTGGGAGGGGTACGGTCCGGAGGAACGGTGCTGGGTGCCTAAGAGGGACATCCTAGATCCATCCCTCCTGACTGAGTTCCACCGTGGTCATCCCACGCGCCCGGGTCCGCGTCCTCCTGGCCGTCCCCGAGGCCAGGGTCGGCGCACGGCTGGAGCCGCACGTCAAGGGGGGGGTACTGTCACGGAATCTGCCGAGGCTGCTCCTCCTCCTTGTTCGGGCAGGCTTCGGCGTTCGTCGTCCCCGGAGTACTAGCTGCCACCGTTGAATGTTTCGATGTTCGTTTGGTTTGGTCTGTCTGTTACACCTGTGTCCGTTTGGTCTTGATTATGTGCCTTATAAGTTTCCTGTGGTTGTGCTCGTTATTTGTGTGTTATTTTAGTTCCTGTCTGTTGGTGGTATCCTGTGCAGTACTCTGGCATTGTTAGTATTACGCACTGTGTTGCGTTGTCGTTTTTGCCTCCTCGTTAGAGGCACTTTATTTTGTACTGGTTGTGCATCTAGTAAAGTCCTGTTCGACTTAGCTTATGCGTCCTGCGTCTGACTCCTCTCCACGCACCCACACCAACACTGACACAATGGCTCAGTTCTCTGACTGCCCTGCGTGGTTTTTCAGTGGGCCCATATATACGAACATCATATTTACCATTCAAGTGTTTGCATTAATTAAAATACTAGTCTCTCTTTTTGTTCCTATACCAGATTTGAATTGACGCAACTTAACATTAGCTAGCTGCTGTGAGAATGTCATGTCATTGGAGGAGTGGGTGAGTCACTGACATATCGTTTTTCAGTGGCTACAGCTAGAGATGCAGCAGGTTAGCTAGCTATGCTGAAATTAAACGACTGTTATACACAGTTAGCATATCTCTTAGTTGTCAAATGTATTTGGCAGGCAGGCAAGTTCCCATTCAGTTGTCAAAACGTGGGTTGGGACAAGCATGCATTGGCAGGCAAGCTGCAGAAGGACGACCAGGCTACTATTCCCCATCGTTTATCAGTGCAATTTTGACGGCCAATTAGTTGTAAAAGTTTGAGGGTTTATCTAGTGTTCCCTCGTTAGATTTTAGCTCAACTCCTCGCTCTGGCTAGCATTAGTAGTTGATCTTGTTGTTGATGTGCATAGGCAACTGAGGGAGAGAGACTACCTTTTCATGGTTGTTTGAGCAATAAGACGGTGAAGTTCCCAAATGTAAGAGGACTCCTGTGGTATTTACATATTTGCAGAAATCCATTCAGGTCTATTTTGTGGCTTTTGGCGATGCGTTCTAATGATCTAAAGTCACGCTGTTGCTACTGCCTGTAAACACACAGTCCAGTTCAAAGTGAATAATGGCAGGGCTTATGTGTGGCAAATGGCTTGGGAGGATGGGAGTGGTGGTAAGCATTTGTTGGGTTCCCACCCATACGGGTGTGGAGGGTAATGAGAAGGCTGATGTGGTGGCTAAGAGTGCGTAGGATGTAGGAGAGAGGAAGTTGTGTGGAGTAGACTACGGTTTGGGTACACAGGTTTGAATGTCACGTTGTGGATGATAGGCAGACATGAAACAGTTCTGTGTGATGAGTGTTTAGTGGAGGAAACGGTGGAGCATGTATTGATATTTTGTGTACTGTATTACGTAGATAGGGAGAGATTGTGTGAAAGGGTTAGAGGCTGGACGGGGTTTGGGTGGTGTAGTGAGGGGGAGGGAAGTGGTGTCTAGGGCTCTATTTCACTTTCTTAGAGGAACAGGACTAATAAAGATAATTTAGTGAGGTAGGCCATGACTGGCTTCACACTCCAGTACAGTAGGTGGCGGTGAGTGCACCTTAAAAGTTGGATGCGATCTGCCAACCCAATCTCAAAGAAGAAGAAAATGATTTGCGGTTCCATGGCATTGTCACGCCAATTAAGTTATTTGATTTTGATAATGTGGTTTAACAACAATAGTTTTGATTTTCTCCTTTCAGACCAATAAATAAACGTGTCAGGATGAAGCTATCCCAGCTTATATGACGTCCCACTCTTTCTGAATTCACCCTACAACACGTTTCTAGCGGCCTTCTTCAGACACAGGTGTTAGGAGCATGCTTGATAGCTATTAGCACAAGGTAACACGTGCTGTAACCATTAGCGGTGCTTGGGTAAAATCACTGGGCAACCTCTGTCCAGTGAAATCCACAAAGCATATTGCATGTACAATAAGACAGTTACATGACCTAAAGCATGGTCAAGCAAGTTAATGTTTCCGACATTTTCGGACCACTAAACAACTAGTGATTTAGAACCACAGATAGTTACCGCAAGTCCAAAAGAAAATAGCAGCTGCCTCCACTATTCCAGCACCATTTCAAATCAAATCAAATCACATTTTATTTGTCACATATACATGTTTAGCAGATGTTATTGAGGGTGTAGTGAAATGCTTGTGCTTCTAGCTCCGACAGTGCAGTAATATCTAACAAGTAATATCTAACAATTTCACAACAAATACCCAATACACACAAATCTAGTAAGGAATGGAATTTAAGAATACAAATATGGACAAGCAATGACAGAGTGGCATGGACTAAGATACAGTAGAATATTATAGAATACATATGAGATGAGTAGTGCAAGATATGTAAACATTATTAAAATGACTAGTGTTCCATTTCTTTAAGTGGCCAGTGATTTCAATAGGCAGCAGCAGCCTCTAATGTGCTAGTGGTGGCTATTTAATGAGGTCTGATGGCCTTGAGATAGAAGCTGTTTTTCATTCTCTCGGTCCCAGCTTTGATGCACCTGTACTGACCTCGCCTTCTGGATGATAGCTGGGTGAACAGGCAGTGGCTCGGGTGGTTGATGTCCTTGATGATCGTTTTGCCTTCCTGTGACATCGGGTGCTGTAGGTGTCTTGGAGGGCAGGTAGTTTGCCCCGGTAATGCGTTCGGCAGACCGCACCACCCTCTGGAGAGCCCTGCGGTTGCGGGCAGTTCAGTTGCCGTACCAGGCGGTGATACAGCCCGACAGGATGCTTTCAACTTCAACATCATCAAATCACCTCTGCTTAGTTTAATACAGTGACAACTATATTAGCCACCAGAGGAAAACAACACAAGATGCAACAATTCAAGTTTTTCAGTCAATGATTTATGCTCTCAATACGATTTGATAGGAGTGATGCCAAATCCAAGCTGGCATCCCTTGACACTTTTTTTTTTGGTGCACCAGGACCATTCACAGTTGAGCTCGCTCAGTTTAGCTCAAAGCTTTTTTTGTCAAGGGAGGCAACGCTCGCTGGCTTACCTTGCCTTCAATGCTACTGGCGGCAACAATGTCATACTCGTTTGGACCAGACAGCATCAGATAGATGGCCTACACGTAGAGAGACAGAGGGCGCTGTTTCGCTTGCTCGGATGCTTTCTCGTGTGAGATACATTCTTGCAAATTGATGGAAAATTAGAGACGATAGATGCATCATTTTATGTTTATATATATTTTTTCTTGGTCAATTTTGTGGGGAAGCCTGGCTTCCCTTGGAATCCATGAATACACGCCACTGGTTGTAACATGTAGGTATGGCCATGTGGGAACACTAACTAAAGGCGTGTAGTATTTTAACCTTACGTTTTTTGAAAATTATTTATCGCCGATATGAAAGGTAGCCCACATTCCTTATGATTCCAAACCGTACCGCAAGCGCGTGTTTGTGTTCAGACCGAGCTCCGGAGCTCTTAACAAAAGTCCCCGGGAAGAAGATACCTTCGGCAATATAGACCCAAAAGGTAGTTGTCGTCTATGAATGGGGTAGGAATGATACAGGTATGCTATTATTGCCCTGCAGGCGGTACAATAAAGTAAACAGCCCTGGGTAGCGCTCAAAGTGCACACAGGTCTCCCCAGCAGCAAATGAACGATCATTTAAAGTAGGCTAACCAGGAAACATGGTGACAGTTGGCATCGGGCAATACATCACTTTATTTTACTGCTGGTCAGGGTGTTTTTGTGCTATTCCAGTCCAAAGACCAGGTTTGACAAGACGTTTCGGGAATGAGTGAAACTTTCTAGGATCCAATCCATGATGTGAAATTCGTTCTAACCGAAGTGGAAAATAAACGCCAAAAGAGACCGCTTACATTTTATTTTTTATCACAAAATGGTTTAGTGTGATAAACCTGGGAGTATTCACAATGGAAATTCGAGGTAAGTGCTTGTGGTGTTGTCAGACTGTTTTCCCATGTTTTAATAAACCGCCGTCAGATTCAGATCCGGGGAAGGAGAAGCGAGAAATCGTGGTGATCAAAAACATTCATGCGGAGGAGCGCACCAACAGGGCTTTGCCACCAATACCCCTTGAGAAACCGGGATACGTTTACATCGCTCTCTACGATTATACCGCCCGAACCGTGGAGGACTTGAGTTTCAATGCTGGGGACAAGTTAGACGCTCTAGACAAAAGTGCTGGCGATTGGTGGTATGCAAATGCACTCACTGGAATTTCAGCTGACAAGAAGGGTTACATTCCAGCCAATTATGTGGCACCTGTGGAGAGCCTGGATGCGGAACCGTAAGTAGCCTACCTTCACCATTTATATCAATTCAAAATTAAGTGCTGGATGAATTATTCTATTGAAGTAGTTGACATAGGCTACTGTATAGACTAGAACAGCACCAGGTCAGGTTTGAATAATGTTTCTGTGGCATCATTCAATGAGGTGAAGAACAGAATGGGCTACAGAAAATTACTTATTTAATAAATCTTCCATTTATAGGGTAGCCTATTAAAATTCAGTCTACATCCCTTAAAACCTTTACTTATTCTTGGGCTACTTGAGGCCAGAGTAAAGCATTAAAGACTCACACACACTTGAGGCATGTTCCAGAGCTGCTTTACCCCTGATCCCACTGATCACCTAACCATCATTTTAGAATGGGACACTAGCTATCTGACACTCTTCTGTTGTGCAGTTATGATTAACCATCATAACTGACCTGTTGGTATCCCTACACCACTGGACCATTCCAAGAAGATCTGGCAAATATTTGTATACATTCACAGTTTATGAGAATGAGCATGCTCTATATAGCCTTGGTGCATTCTGTTGTGTAATGTTTATTGTGCCAATCGAAAGATTAGCTAAATTCAGAGTTGCACATTGACTCAGTGTTGTGGAATATGATGAGTCACAATACTGTAAGTGCTTTATTTATTCCCTGCACTTCCTCATAACCTAGTCCTTGATGTGGCCTCAGATTTGAGTGACTGCTCTCTAACAAACACATGACACACGACTAACCAACAGTTGACATAGGCTACAGTAATGTCATTATTTTGTTTAGTTTAATGCATGCCAACTTTGGATATTGTGAACAGATTTAGTCAATAGGTAAATGCCACACTACCTAAGTGGTTGGTCAAACTAGTTAATGATTGTCAATGATGAGGAAGCACAATGGATTAGTTAATAATTATCCAGATCAGAGGAAAATATATCTGTAAAAACCAAGTGGTTCAACCCTAAAGAGATTCAATGTACATGTACATTTTTTGTTTTGTTTTACAGTAGCTGTATTTACAGTTGAAGTCGGAAGTTTACATACACTTAGGTTGGAGTCATTAAAACTAGTTTTTCAACCACTCCAGAAATGTCTTGTTAACAAACTATGGTTTTGGCAAGTCGGTTAGGACATCTACTTTGTGCATGACACAAGTCATTTTTACAACAATCGTTTACAGACAGATTATTTCACTTATAATTCACTGTATCACAATTCCAGTGGGTCAGAAGTTTACATACACTAAGTTGACTGTGCCTTTAAACAGCTTGGAAAATTCCAGAAAATGATGTCATGGCTTTAGAAGCTTCTGATAGGCTAATTGACATCATTTGAGTCAATTGGAGGTGTACCTGTGGATGTATTTCAAGGCCTACCTTCAAACTCAATGCCGCTTTGCTTGACATCATGGGAAAATCAAAAGAAATCAGCCAAGACCTCAGAAAAAAATGTGTAGACCTCCACAAGTCTGGTTCATCCTTGGGAGCAATTTCCAAATGCCTGAAGGTACCACGTTCATCTGTACAAACAATAGTACACAAGTATAAACACCATGGGACCACGCAGCCGTCATACTGCTCAGGAAGGAGACACGTTCTGTCTCCTAGAGATGAACGTACTTTGGTGCGAAAAGTGCAAATCAATCCCAGAACAACAGCAAAGGACCTTGTGAAGATGCTGGAGGAAACGGGTACAAAAGTATCTATATCCACAGTAAAACGAGTCCTATATCGACATAACCTGAAAGGCCACTCAGCAAGGAAGAAGCCACTGCTCCAAAACCGCCATAAAAAAGCCAGACTACGGTTTGCAACTGCACATGGGGACAAATATCTTACTTTTTGGAGAAATGTTCTCTGGTCTGATGAAACAAAAACAGAACTGTTTGGCCATGATGACCATCGTTATGTTTGGAGGAAAAAGGGGGCTGCTTGCAAGCCGAAGAACACCATCCCAACCGTGAAGCACGGGGGTGGCAGAATCATGCTGTGGGGGTGCTTTGCTGCAGGAGGGACTGGTGCACTTCAGAAAATAGATGGCATCATGAGGAAGGAAAATTATGTGGATATATTGAAGCAACATCTCAAGACATCAGTCAGGAAGTTAAAGCTTGGTCGCAAATGGGTCTTCCAAATGGACAATGACCCCAAGCATACTTCCAAAGTCGTGGCAAAATGGCTTAAGGACAACAAAGTCAAGGTATTGGAGTGGCCATCACAAAGCCCTGACCTCCATCCTATAGAACATTTGTGGGCAGAATTGAAAAAGCGTGTGCAAGCAAGGAGGCCAACAAACCTGACTCCGTTACACCAACTCTGTCAGGAGGAATGGGCCAAAATTCACCCAACTTATTGTGGGAAGCTTGTGGAAGGCTACCCAAAACGTTTGACCCAAGTTAAACAATTTAAAGGCAATGCTACCAAATACTAATTGAGTGTATGTAAACTTCTGACCCACTGGAAATGTGATGAAAGAAATAAAAGCTGAAATAAATCACTCTCTACTATTATTCTGACATTTCACATTCTTAAAATAAAGTGGTTATCCTAACTGACCTAAGACGGGGAATTTTTACTAGGATTAAATGTCAGGAATTGTGAAAAACTGAGTTTAAATGTATTTGGCTAAGGTGTATGTAAACATCCGACTTCAACTGTACATATTGACAACCTTTTGTAGCGTCAACACACACACAAGTGCACTGGCTATATATAGAAAGAAACTGGTTAAGCAAGGCAATTGCACTTGGCATGACATGACGGAGAGTAAAACTTAACTTTGACAACCAAACAGACCTGGGTTTCTTGGTCAAAAGTAATGTCGGGGTAATGGTTTGAAATAATGGAACAGGTACCATTCATAAATGAGCTGTTCAAGAATAATGGAAATATTTAATCTTATCATATCCTATGAAAAACAACTAACCACACCTTTTTCAATGCCATTGAGACATACAATTAAAAGTAAAGGGTTTCATATGTAATGAGGGGTCCATCTTCTGAACAAAGTCAGTAATATTATCTTGGGTGTGACTCAAGAGTATTGTCCTGGTGATCATCCCCTGAAACTGGTTTTAGTTAAGCTGCAGTCCTAGTTTTTGCCTTTAACAAAACACTGTCTGTGGGAACCTTGAGAGGGTTTTGTCTTGGTAATCAGGACTTGTTTCACGGTCTCATAGTGTACATAACCTGATTTAACTTGATTAGTGGATGGATATAGTAGAGTATAGTATCAATCATATTGATCTGTTTGATGTATTGGTAAAAACCCTAAGCTAGGCAAACACCTTAATGTACCTACCCACCAACTCAATATCACTGTGCAGTGCAAGTGAATATCTATGATGATGCTGGTGTTGACAGTTGTTTCCTCCTGTTCTGCTATACAGATGGTACTTTGCGGACACCAAGAGACTGGATGCTGAGAAGCTGCTTCTGTCTGAGGGGAACCAGCATGGAGCCTTCCTCATCAGACACTGTGAGAGTCAGAAAGGAGAGCTCTCACTCTCAGGTAAATCTCAGCGTCATGTTCTTGAACTTGTTGCATCTGCAAGAGACTAAAGCTCAGATCTGTATCCCACCAAATATGTACTCTCACAGTATGCTCACATTACTGGTAACAGGTTTTGAATTACTTTGTGATGTTTGACACATTTTGTGACTTCGCTTTATTGTTCAGGATTGTATTTTGTGGTTTTATTGTTCGATCAATCTATTTCCTTGTGCTCCCGGTATGAGGAGGGAACTCGATGCACAAAGAACACAAGTTGTTTCTTCATTCCTGAACAATCCCCACTTTGCTCTGGGTAAATCACAGTCTCCCATAGTGCACTGAAATGTTTGAAGGTTCAAGGTCATAAAATTAAACAAATAGGGAGACCTCTCTTCTTATAAAGAGACTGTGATAACATCACTTAAGGCCACATGATTCTGGCTGGCCATTTCTGTCGGAAGGAAAAAGTCCCTTGCTTATACATTTACAGTGGTCGATTAACTTAGTCACGACAGATGCAATAATCTCATAGTAACATGATTACAGGAAAGTTCAATGGTGTTGCTATCTGCCTATGTATTGTTCATGTTTATAATAGTACATTAGTCATAGTAGTCACAAACCAAAGTTGGGTCACCTGCTACTGTCCTCCCTTCCACTGTTTTCTTTCTCTTTCTGTGGTGTGGTGGTCAAAGCAAAAGTGTGAAAACAGTCTGGAAAACGTATCTCGCTCCCCCCCTCCCCCCCTGGCGGTTATAATAATAATATAATATGCCATTTAGCAGACGCTTTTATCCAAAGCGACTTACAGTCATGCGTGTATACATTTTTGTGTATGGGTGGTCCCGGGGCTCGAACCCACTACCCTGGCGTTACAAGCGCCGTGCTCTACCAGCTGAGCTTACTGACACTTGAGCCCCCTCTCTTCCCATTTTACAAAACATTTTCTGTAACCAGCCTTCTCACCCACTGGACACCGACACCGGACATCCATGGATGTTGAAAAGTAGTTGAAATTTGGTCAGTCCAAATCTGAACCAATCATAAGTGTCTGTTTTTCAACTTTCGGCAGCACAGTACAGAAAAGTAGAGTATAGGTCAGTACAGTAGAGTTTAGTACAAGAGTAGAGTACAGTATAATTTACTGAACTGTACTTTACTGGACTATACTCTATTGTGCTGTACTGTACTCTATTGTACCTTACTGTACTCTACTATGCTATACTGTGATGTCCAAACTTGTGAAAGATAGACGTCTATGATTGGTACAGATTTGTTCCGGTCCAGACCAACCAAATATGGTCTTGTTTGAGCTCATTAGAATAATAGCCAGTGTTTAGAATAATACCCAAACATGCAAAAGAGGATATTACATTTTTCTACCTTTGTGTACACGGGTTTACATCACCATGGAAGAGAATTCATAATGATGCATTTCTGTATAGTACAGATCAGGGACCCACGATTTCATTCTGTTAGCGGGTGTTAATCCACTTCACTTACTGTAGTTAAATAACCAAAAATAACCCATTGTTATTTTTTAAATTTTTTGTGTCATGTCATAACTGACACCCCATTCTTTCTGCAGACATCTTTGAATCTTAATTCGGAGTAGATATTTAAGAGTTTTTGGAAAACGTGGTCACGTAGAAAAAACTGAGGGAGATTTTCCTGTCATTCTGTTACCAAAATTTACATCTGCGCTGCTCTTCGAGTGTCACGATCGTCGGGAACAGAGGACCAAGGCGCAGCGTGGAATGCGAACATGCTTTTTATTAATGTTACACGAACAAAACAACAAACGATACGTGCAGTCCTACGGTAAAACACAAACCAAAAGGAACAAGATCCCACACCATACTGTGGGAAACAGGCTGACTAAGTATGGTTCCCAATCAGAGACAACAAGCAACAGCTGATTCACGTTGCCTCTGATTGAGAACCACACTGGCCAACATAGAAACACAATACTAGACCGAACACAAAATAAAACTCACACCCTGGCTCAACATACTAGAGTCCCCAGAGCCAGGGCGTGACAGTACCCCCCCCCCAAAGGCGCGGACTCCGGCCGCGCCAACCAAACACCACAGGGGAGGGACCGGGTGGGCACTCCGCCTTGGCGGCGGATCCGGCTCCGGGCCTGATCCCCACTCCCTCTCCAACCCCCCAAAGTACCCCTGGTCCGGTCTGGCCCTGCTGGCCGGAGCTGGACTGCACACTGGTGGAGCGGATTGCTCTAGCTCCGGCGTGAAGCAGCCGGACCAGGCACCGGTGGAACAGGCACGGGCCGTGCTGGACTGACGACGCACACCACTGGCTTGGTGTGGGGAGCAGGAACGGGCCGGACCGGGCTGGCGACGCTCACCATTGGCCTGGTGCGGGGAGCAGGAACAGGCCGGGCCGGGCTGGCGACGCGCACCACAGGCTCGGTGCAAGGGACAGTAACAGACCGGACCGTACTGGGGACACACACCACTGGCCCTACGCAGGGATCAGGAACGGGCCGGACCGGACTGGTAACACACCCCAGTACCTCTCGCCGTGCCTCTACACCTTCCCTCCCCTTTTTGACCAGTGCCCCCCGTAACCTGGCGGCCTCCTCTGCCAACCCGCTGGGCCGCTCTATCGCGGTCTCCTGGTGCCCCGTCGTCCACGGCGTGAGCCCCCCCCTACAAATTTTCTGGGAGTCTCTCCTCCCCGTGGACCAGGCCTCCATAGTTCTCGCCCAACTCTCGCTCTTCTGCTTCCAAGTCAAGCCCCTCTCTTGCTCACACGGCTTGACCCAGTCGAGGAGGCGCTGGATATCCGCTAGAGATTTCCCTGGTGATGGCTCCTGGACCCGCTGCTTGGTCCAGTTCTGGTGGGATCTTCTGTCACGATCGTCGGGAACAGAGGACCAAGGCGCAGCGTGGAATGCGAACATGCTTTTTATTAATGTTACACGAACAAAACAACAAACGATACGTGCAGTCATACGGTAAAACACAAACCAAAAGGAACAAGATCCCACACCATACTGTGGGAAACAGGCTGACTAAGTATGGTTCCCAATCAGAGACAACAAGCAACAGCTGATTCACGTTGCCTCTGATTGAGAACCACACTGGCCAACATAGAAACACAATACTAGACCGAACACAAAATAAAACTCACACCCTGGCTCAACATACTAGAGTCCCCAGAGCCAGGGCGTGACATCGAGTAAATACGTTTTTGTTAACTTTTCAGTGGAAATTGTTAAAAGTAGTCCTTGTGCATAGTTGTATGGTTTGTTTAACTTGGCAAATAATATTTTTTGTTTAGCATTGAGTCTGTGTCCTTCTGTTACCGTGGACTTGGCCTTATGTAATTTCTGAATGACAGATTTTAACATTTTTTACTCTTCGGCGCACATTTTCATGGCCATGGTTGATTTTACTGTCTTTATTCACACTTTTTTAGTATTGTGCCCTAATGCTTTGTATGTATCTTTCAGTACTGGACCAGTGCAAAGTGAAGCACTACAAAGTAAGGAAGCTGGACACTGGAGGCTACTACGTGGCAAGGTCGAAGAACTTCCTAACTCTGAGGGAGTTGGTGGAACATTACTCAAAACTGGAGGATGGGCTCTGTGTGCGGCTGCTTGAACCATGTAAAAAGGTATGGTGTTCCATTTACTTTCTTTATTAACTATCATGTGATTGCGATAAAGCAGATTTGTTTAGTGGCCCTTTTGATCTGAATTCATGTACACACACTTTATGGAACAAATGTGCCTGGCAAATTTGCTAAAGATTATCCAGATCACAGAAACCCTGTTCAAATATTGGGCCTAATGCATTAGCCTGATAATGTTCCATGTCAACCATGTATAGCACCATTAACCGCTCACAAAGGACAATAGAACCAACAGTCATGTGGTTTTCCTGAACAGTAGAGAGGACAGTGTGTCAGGTTCTACTTTGGGCCAGTTCCTCTGTCTCGGCTGATGCTGTATCTCTCTCCTGTCAGATGGAGGTGCCTCAGACCCATGGTCTGTCCTACAACACTGCCGACCATTGGGAGATTGACCGGACGTCTGTGAAACTGCTGAATAAACTGGGCGCTGGGCAATTTGGAGAAGTTTATGAAGGCCTCTGGAACGACACCACTGCAGTAGCAGTGAAGACCCTCAAACCTGGTAAATAGCCTGTTCCACACAAACACAGGATTCAAACCCATAAAATCACTTTATTTTCAAATCCTTGATTTTGTTATATGTATCTACTTAAAGGTCCAATGCAGCCGTTTTTATCTCAATATCAAATAATTTCTGGTTAACAATTAAGTACTGTATATACACTGGAGAAAAAAATATACGCAACATGTAATGTGTTGGTCCCATGTTTCATGAGCTGAAATTAAAAATCACAGAAATTTACCATACGCACAAAAAGCTTATTTCTCCATTTTCTTTTCACAAATTTGTTTACATCCTTTTTAGTGAGCATTTCTCCTTTGCCAAGATAATCCATCCACCTGACAAGTGTGGCATATCAAGAAGCTGATTAAACAGCATGATCATTACACAGGTGCACCTTGTGCTGGGGACAATAAACGGGCACTCTAAAATGTGCAGTTTTGTCACACAACACAATGCCACAGATGTCTCAAGTTTTGAGGGAGCATGCCATTGGCATGCTGACTGCAGGAATGTCCACCTGAGCTTTTGTCAGAAAATTGAATGTTAATTTCTCTACCAATGTCGTTTTAGAGAATTTGGCAGTACGTCCAACTGGCCTCACAACCGCAGACCACGTGTATGGAGTCGTGTGGACGAGTGGTTTGCTGATGTCAACGTTGTGAAAAGAGTGGAATGGGCAAGCATTTTATCGATGACAATTTGAATGCAGAGATACCGTGACGAGATCCTGAGGCCCATTGTCGTGCCATTCATCCGCCGCCATCACCTCATGTTTCAGCATGATAATGCACGCCCCCATGTCGCAAGGATCTGTACACAATTCCTGGAAGCAGAAAATGTCCCAGTTTTTCCATTGCCTGCATGCTCACCAGACATGTCACCCATTGAGCATGTTTGGGATGCTTTGGACCGACGTGTATGATAGCATGTTCCAGTTCCCGTCAATATCCAGCAACTTCACACAGCCATTGCAGAGGAGTGGGACAACATTCCACAGGCCACAATCAACAGCATGAACAGCATGATCAACTCTATGTGAAGGAAATGTCACGCTGCATGAGGCAAATGGTGGTCACACCAGATACTGAACCCTACCTTTTTCTCCCCAATTTTGTGATATCCAATTGCGATCTTGTCTCATCGCTGCAACTCCCCAATGGGCTCGGCCAAGGTCGAGTCATGCGTCCTCCGAAACATGACCTGTCAAACCGCGCTTCTTAACTCCCGCCTGCTTAACATGGTCCTCTGTAGCTCAATTGGTAGAGCATGGCGCTTGTAACGCCAGGGTAGTGGGTTCGATCCCCGGGACCACCCATACGTTAAAATTTTTTTTTTATGCAAGCATGACTGTAAGTCGCTTTGGATAAAAGCATCTGCTAAATGGCATATTATTATTATTATTATTATTATTATTATTATTATTAACCCGGAAGCCAGCCGCATCAATGTGTTGGAGGAAACACAGTACAACTGGCGCCCGGCCCGCCACAAGGAGTCGCTAGAGCACGATGAGCCAAGTAAAGCCCCCCCGGCCAAACCCTCCCCTAATCCAGATGACGCTGGGCCAATTGTGCGCCGCACTATGGGAGTCCCAGTCACGGCCGGTTGTGACACAGCCTGGGATTGAACCCGGGTCTGTAGTGACCCCTCAAGCACTGCGATGCAGTGCCTTAGACCGTTGCGCCACTCGGGAGGCCGCCCCTACATTTTTTAAAGGTATCTGTGACCAACAGATGCATATCTGTATTCTCAGTCATGTGAAATCCATAGATTAGGGCCTAATTTATTTATTTCAATTGACTGATTTCCTTATAATCTTTGAAATTGTTGCGTTTATATTTTTGTTCAGTATATAAAACACAATCACGTTTTTGACTGCACTGGACATTTAAAAAATGTCTACGTCACAGTGCAGGTTGGATTGAATTCCAGATAGTGTTAGAGTTCAATACAACGTATACATGTTCTTGTTATTATCTTGTTATCCTAGGCACCATGGACGTAAAGGACTTCCTACAGGAGGCCCAGATCATGAAGAAACTGCGGCACCCCAAACTGATCCAGCTCTACGCTGTGTGTACTGTGGAGGAACCCATCTACATCATCACAGAGCTCATGAAAAACGGCAGTCTGTTGGAGTACCTCCAAAGTAAGAACACACTAGTGTATTGCATTATAACCTACCTACTTACAATACCACTGCACTTTCCTCAATGGACCAGACCCTGGATGTTGTCGGACGTGTAGATTAGAACACCACCTCAACAATGTGCCAACTGTAACAAGAGTTGAAATACAGTACAGACGTTTCTTTAACTTATGTAACAGAGTGAAGTGAAAGTTTGGCAACAACCAAAAAAAGCTACAGTTTTGCTCCCTCTTCACTTTATGTATAGGTGTGATACAGTTGCCTCTACAAACTATGCAAAATGCATCATACGTGCCAGGCTTCTGTATTTTGAAAGTTACATGCAGTGCATTCGGAAAGTGTCCAGACCCCTTCCCTTTTTCCACATTTTGTTATGTTACAGCCTTATTCTAAAATGAATTAAATAAAACAATGTCCTCATCAATCTTCACACAATACCCCATAATGACAAAGTGAAATAACAAAACAATTGTGCAAATGTATTCCAAATAAAAACAGAAATAAGTATTCAGACTCTTTGTTATAAGACTCGAAATTGAGCTCAGGTGCATCCTTGAGATATTTCTACAACTTGATTGGAGTCCACCTGTAGTAAATTAAATTGATTGGACATTATTTGGAAAGGCACACACCTGTCTATATAAGGTCCCACAGTTGACAGTGCATGTAAGAGCAAAAACCAAGCCATTAGGTTGAAGGAACTGTCCGTAGAGCTCAGAGACAGGATTGTGTTGAGGCACAAAACATTTCTGCAGCACTCCACCAATCAGGCCTTTATGGTAGAGTGGCAAGACTGAAGCCACTCCTCAGTAAAAGGCACATGACGGCCTGCTTAGAGTTTGCCAAAAGACATCTAAAGGACTCTCAGACCATGAGAAACAAGATTCTCTGGTCTGATGAAACCAAGATTGAACTCTTTGGCCTGAATGCCAAGTGTCACATCTGGAGGAAACCTGGCACCATCCCTACGGTGAAGCATGGTGGTGGCAGCATCATGCTGTGGGAATGTTTTTCAGATCGAGGGAAAGATGAACGGAGCAAAGTACAGAGAGATCCTTGATGAAAACCTGCTCCAGAGCGCTCAGTACCTCAGACACCTTCCAACAGGTCAACGACCCTAAGCACACAGCCAAGACAACGCAGGAGTGGCTTCGGGACAAGTCTCTGAATGTCCTTGAGTGGTCCAGTCAGAGCCCAGACTTGAACCCGATCAAACATCTCTGGAGAGACCTGAAAATAGCTGTGCAGTGACGCTCCCCATCCAACCTGACAGAGCTTCAGAGGATCTGCAAAGAATGGGAGAAACTCCCCAAATACAGGTGTGCCTAGCTTGTAGCGTCATACCCAAGAAGACTCAAGGCTGTAATCGCTGCCAAAGGTGCTTCAACAAAGTAATGAGTAAAGGGTCTGAATACTTAAGTAAATGTGATATTTCAATTTTTAATAAATTAGCTACATTTTCTAAAAACCTTTTTTTGCTTTGTCATTATGGGGTATTCTGTGTAGATTGATGACAAAATAAAACAATTTCATCAATTTAAGAATAAGGCTGTAACGTAACAAAATGTGGAAAAACTCAAGGGGTCTGAATACTTTCCGAATTCACTTTATTGTAAGAATATTAGAAGATAAATATACACCACAGAGGACTAGAGGTTAAGAGGGAATTAAAGATCAATGGAAATAGTTGTTTTGATTCATAGCTACATGTGGCAAGTTCTAATTGGTCCAAATGGTCTATACATTGAGCCTGAAACAAGATACTTGGGGGGTTGGCCATTGGCCCAATTTTATTGCAAGGAATTCTAATTGGTCAGCCACATGCTAGGCTTGAGGCTATAAACTACATCCTGTCTCTTTGTTCAGAGGAGAAACATTGAGAACAGGGAAGAATGAACATCTACCATCTACTTCACAGCATAACAACTATGATTTGTTCTCTTTGAATAAATTATATTTTTCTCCCCCTGATTTTCTTTGGGGTCTGTGTTATTGAAGAATAACATCAACTGCTAACAGTATCTTAAAAAATGTATTGCTGACATGCAAGACATTTTGGGACTATATCAACAATGGACTAATGAAACAAATAGCAAACGTTTTTGGGTGGAATTTTCCTTTAAGGGAGAAGGGATCAAAGTCTGACTGAAGGAGAGATCTTAATGTACAGTGGGGAAAAAAAGTATTTAGTCAGCCACCAATTGTGCAAGTTCTCCCACTTAAAAAGATGAGAGAGGCCTGTAATTTCATCATAGGTACACGTCAACTATGACAGACAAATTGAGAAAGAAAATTCCAGAAAATCACATTGTAGGATTTTTTAATGAATTTATTTGCAAATTATGGTGGAAAATAAGTATTTGGTCACCTACAAACAAGCAAGATTTCTGGCTCTCACAGACCTGTAACTTCTTCTTTAAGAGGCTCCTCTGTCCTCCACTCGTTACCTGTATTAATGGCACCTGTTTGAACTTGTTATCAGTATAAAAGACACCTGTCCACAACCTCAAACAGTCACACTCCAAACTCCACTATGGCCAAGACCAAAGAGCTGTCAAAGGACACCAGAAACAAAATTGTAGACCTGCACCAGGCTGGGAAGACTGAATCTGCAATAGGTAAGCAGCTTGGTTTGAAGAAATCAACTGTGGGAGCAATTATTAGGAAATGGAAGACATACAAGACCACTGATAATCTCCCTCGATCTGGGGCTCCACGCAAGATCTC